GATGACATAATAACAAAGAGAAATAATTGCATCACTGTATTATTGCACCCCTATACAACAGAGTCAGGAAACTAGTGCAACATATAATTAGGGATTATGTAAATTTAACTCACTCCCCTCTCTCAGTGTATTCTTTGTCTCACTCTTTTCCTCACTGCTTGTGACCTTGTCACCTTTGTGTAAGTGGCAAAAGGGATGACATTGGTTCACTTTTGGCAAAAGCTGAAAGATGGAAGGAAAGAGCAAAAGGCCAGCTATCACCAGGGGCGAGAGTTTATGTTCCCCCTGCTGCCTGAATCCAAGTCCTCTCTTTCGCTGCCCCTCCCTGCTCCCTCATTCCCCCCTATTGTGTGTTCAGTGTAGTAGCATCTGGTTAATGGGCCTCTTCAGTGGATAGCCTCTTCCATCTTCATACACACACATTGTGTGTAGGCAGGCAAAGACACATGCACATTCTCTATCTGTGCTTGTGTAGTGTAGAGTCTTGTTCTTATATTTTTAGGTTGTCGTAGTAGAACGTATGCTGCTTTGAATGTGGGAGGAATATTTTGTGACATCCAGTAATTGTATGTGTCAGCGCTTAAGTACATTTTATTGAATGCGAGTTCAATACAACGTATGTGCTTTTGTAGGCATTAAATAGGTTATCCTGGACAGTGAAGCAGATGATATTACCTACTGGAGGGATCACATAAATATTTTCTCTGTGTGTGTGTGTGTGTGTGTGTGTGTGTGTGTGTGTGTGTGTGTGTGTGTGTCTGGAATTCACTCAGTTTTCTTGAATTCAAGGTTTTCTTCATATGTTTAGTTCAACATTATCCTGTTTTGACTGATTCCACACCGTGAAACCAAAGTTAATGAATACCAGCAGCGATTTCTGTATACGAAATAGAAGAAATGTCTTCTGGTTGCAGATTATCTAATTGGCTAGATGGAAATGTGGGTAGAAGATGGCACAGAGGTTATGGAAAATAATACTCTGAATATGTGTGTATTAGTCTGTGTCCTCTCTCATGGACACAGGTTTATGTAAACCTCTGGACGTAGACTCTGGCTAGTTTTGTATGGTTTTCTGAGGCATGAGTAATCCCAGTGAATCAACAACAGGAGCAGCAAACTGGTTTTCATTGAGCTGGCAGGAATAGCTAGCTAGGAATGTTCAGTGCTGGACACAATATTACAGGACATTCTGTTTAACCCATCCCATCCCAATAAATAAAGAGGGATAAAAGGATTAAAACACCATTATTGAAGCCAGCTGGAGACTTAATTCAGACTAGAGGCATGATGCTATTAATCTTACATGTTCACTTGATGGCATGCATCTCTATGCAAGGCTTGGCTTTTATAAGTGAAATTGGAGAAATGCTTTAAGTAAAATACTGTGTGTTCACAGTGGATTGTGATATTGCAGTGTGAGCACTACAGTTAGAAGAATCTTAATTAAACATATGTATCAAAATAAGAAACTTGAAATTTTAATTCTACAAAGTTACTAAGTCATTTATGCCGTGTTGCTTGTTAGTTTGCAGCATTACCTTAACCCTTGTAGTTGTGTTGATACTGACAAATGTCCACATTTTGGCAAAGGTTCACAGACTATGACAAGACCCCAGATGACTCCAGATTTAATGATGAAGAAGAAGAAGAAAAAAACAAACTGAGCCTCTTGTAGCAGTATGATAGACTCACACTGCAGTATTCTTTTACAGCTGGATAAGAAATCAGTACGCTACCATCATATTATCTATGGTATTTAGCCAATGTAAACTTTGCTTTTAGCTTCCTATCATGCCAAACACATGGTTTTATGTCCCTATGTCTCGAATGTGCTGTTGGATCTTGTCAATCGTTGCCAATCATTGAAAGGCATAGGAAATGTGTTTTCCAGATAGCATTACAGTTGCAATAAAGCTTGGCTTGAGCTGTGATTGAAACAATGCTGTGCCTAAGCCGCACTGAGCCCACCTGTTTGTTCTTCTGTAATTGGATTCTGCTTCATTCCATTTGCCTTAATGCTGATGCATAATGCAGTGTACTGAGGGGACCAGCCATTAACAGCCAGGGGACAAGGCTTGGAGGAGTAACCTGACCTCATCGCCATCATACACGGCCCCACTCCCCTCCAGCGCTCCTGTCCCTTAAACATCCTTACACGGCCTCTGTCCTTCAAACCAGCCACTTGCTCAGATTGGATGGATTGATGGTAGAGGCTGTGGGCCTGGGGGAACCAGAATAGCAGGTGTTGATGTTACAGCCTACAACAACAATAAACTGGCCCTTTGCAGCATGTTAATCCAAAATAAACAGGCACTGGTGTGGATGGTTTGGATTTGGATGGAGGGATCCTCATCAAACACAGAAAATGTAGAGCCAAAGCTTAATCTTTCTTTCATAGTCAAGAATATACAGCAACACACCTCAGCCAACCACAGCAAGTCAACACAGTGGCCGCATCTATGCTGAGTTAAACCTCAGTTCACTTTTAGGTACATTAACAAAGACACATAACAGTGCGACTGGTCAATGTCATGTACTGTGTTTATACTGTAAAAATATAGATCCGGCAATCGGGTGAAGGCGGGGTACACCCTGGACAGGTCGCCAACCCATCACAGAAAATATAGATATGAGGGTTTTAATTTAATACTTGTTTCAAACTGCTCAAATAAAATTATAAAGAATTAATTCAATAGTTACTCTATGTACTATATAATTGTTGTGAGCTTTTTTGACCACTGAACCATCATGATATGTGCTCAGTGTGGTGCCTTATGTCCATGATTTTCACTCATGTAGGAGGTGGGCAGCATGTTTTGGCCAAAACTATAAACACATCATAATGGCTTCACAGACTGCCGTCATGACAGAGACTCCCACATGCTCTTTGCCATTTTCATCAAGGCCATACTTCGCTCATGATCAGCTGTCTTTGCTAAGTTGCAGGTGTCGATGGCTGTGACTCAGCTCTGCCCACAACAATAATGAAGATAAGACATCTACAATAGAGATGGTGTATGTGTGTACATTGGAAAGTGGAGCGTAAAGTAGTGGTGGAAAAGAGAAAAGAGAGGTGCAGAAATAAGAAGAGTGACATAAATTATGTGGGTACTGGTGTGTCTATGTAACTGAGTGGGTTAGCGACAGTGGCCAAGGTTCATTAGCGTGTCATCGGCTTCCTCCGCACCAAAGTAATAAAGCTCTCTCTGCACCCCACCCCACTCTCCATACTACATATGAACTGAGCTGTGAAAAAGAGCATCTGATCTCAAGCCACCTCTTTTGCACACTGACACGGTACTAAAAATGGATAACAGCTGATGAAGCAACAACATTAAAATGGTAACATTGGGGTTGTGAGGCGAGAGGGCTAGAAAGAGGGCTCAGTGAGCTGTAGAGAAGACTTTGCAAGATGAAAATGATTGAAAAGGGTATGTGGTATGCATGTGATGATGAACTGGCATCTATATCGCAGGGTAAATCAGGAGCAGAGAGCATGCAAAATGCTAGAAAGGAATCATTTTTCTATTTCTTCTATACATATTAGTCAATATTTCTCTCAATAAACATATCCCCTGGCTACAGAAACAACTCACTGCTTTTTCCACCGCTTCAACATTGAATAGATGCTGGGACATTGATTGTAGGATTGTGTACAGAGACAGTTTGAGTGTAAAACATTCTGCAGATAGGAAGAGATCTAAGAATTGTAAAAAAAAAAAAAAAACTGTTATTGTGGAGGATGTACAGCAGCACTACCAGATGGATATGAAAATCTGTAGCTTGTGTGCATGCACATACAGTATACACTCATATGTTGGCACTTGTGCTGTAAATATGACAGTAAGCCAGTTGAGATATGATGAATGGATAGGGCCAGGCTGACAGACAAGAGGAGAGGGTGACACAGCTGGGAGAAAGGGAGGGGAAGGGTTAGGTAAAGGTTCAGTAGAGAGGAGCTGACAGATCCTGAATGGTAGTCTTTGGAGATGCATGGCCTCATTGCATCAGCTGTGGAGTGATTCACAGAAGACGTAAAATAATGCCCGAACGTCAGCGCGGCAGAAAACGTGGTCTCTCTAGAGCTGGAGGGGAAAGTAGAAATGAAAACTATTAACAGTAAAAAAGCATTAGCATGTCACCTGAGTGGGAGACACCTACACTGTTCTCTGTTTGATATGAGGCCATGACATCAGACAACAACATATATTTTTAAACTACTGTACAATCGCCTGCCATTATGGATGCAGTACACACTCTGTGTTTCAACTGACATGTGTTTGACCCCTATCCCCATCTACAGGAGACAGCACCTGGTGCCTCACCACAGTCCCATTAGTGGTCAACCACACACACTCTTGCACACGCTGTCCACAAGAGATATTTTTAGGGGATGTGATACAACCCCTATGGTAGCTAAAGCTCATAGATTCACACCCCATGGGCTTGACAGGAAGGGATACATTTCCTGACAGAAACCGCAAACCATCCACACATGTAGCACATACAGTACATACTGTGTGTGAACTTCGCATCCTGTGAAGAGTATTGAGGCTTTTATAGAGGAAAATACATACATGTATATATAGAAAGTATTGACACACCATGATATCTTCTAGTTTTGAGTGTTTTCAAAAGATGCAAATTCCTTGATTTCTGTTAAACTGCTGCCAACATCTAAAATGCTAACTCGGTGAAGCAATCCTCTTTCCCCAGAAAGATTTCCCTAGCACATCTGTAAACACTTCCTAGCTATAATTCCACAAAAGCCATAACTAATCCTGTAAAATTAACTATCTGAAAGTCCCCCCCCCTCAGTTTTAACTTTTGTCTACAGGAAAGAAAACATTATTAAAAGTTTGTTCATGCAGATCTTTATGCGAAGAAGAAATACAGTTGGAAACTATTGTTTTGATTGTTGATTATTTTGATTGCCCATGTGATGCTACATGTGGTATTATATTAACACCCTTGTAACCTATGTGTATTGTATTTTTCAGCTTCCACCATCGCTGAGAATGGGAGGAAAACATGCCTAAAGCTCAAAGTTTTCGTCCGACCATCAAGTAGGTGTTTGCATAAAACATAAGGCTTTGTAATAGAGCTTGCTGAAGTACACATTTGGATTGAAAATCAAAACAATTTGTCTACTTCTCTGGTTTCTTCACCACATCCACAAGTACCTTTTGCTCACTGAAAAACATACCTCTTTCATTTATCACAGGAGTACTTTACTTGCTATGAATTTTTTTTTAAACATGAAAAGGATGATAGATGATCACATCAAATGAAATCCAGGTCACTTCATACAGTACCTCATCTGAATGCTGCCATGAGCTTTGTTGCTTGGGATGTTTAATTACAGGGCTGAGATGGGGGCTTCAAATGTCAGTAACTTGTTTGGCATATATCTCTAATAATCTCTCATTCTCCCTATTTTCTGTTATAGACAGCTGTGTGAAAACTATAGGCGTACATGACCGTGTTTTTGATGTAAACGACAAAGTAGAAAACACATTAGAACCACGAGGTTAGTATGGCTTCCTGCTTTTTTGATTCTCTTCAGTATGACCTCCATACATCTGCACGTCTGTTCTTTTATGCTTTGTCTGTAAGCTGCTCTGTCCCTGCCTGATGCTTCCCTTAAACTGACCGTTCACCACCATTATATATTTATATATATGTCTCATATTCTCATACCTTTATCAAGCTTCTACAAAGCTTCTCTACAAAAGAAAGACCTCCTCACTGGAGAGATATATAGCAAACTGTCAAATATAGGAAATCAGTTATTGAATAATTTCATTTTAAAAAATAGATGTTAATTTTTGAAATAAATAAAATGTTACATTAAAGCTGCTCACTGTGATGGGACACACACATATTGTACACAAGGTCCGGCATATCAAGGCCAGATCCTAAGACATTTCTGATGCCCACCTGCCTCTTCTTCTGCCTGATTTTTTTTTTATCCTCATATTTGCCGAACTTGATACTCTGCCTGCATCTTCGATGACAGCCTTGCATGCTTCTTTTGCCTTATTCCCCTGTTATGCGCTCCAAAAAAGAGAAATTAAAACATGCATTTGTCATCTGCTGTGGTCATGTCCCTCCACCTCCTACCACACACATACATTTGTATCATTATGTAACTGTCTGGCCCTCTCTTTTCTCTATCTATCCTTTGCTGTGCATGGTTCAGTGACTTTCTCATGGTGTAACAGGCACATGGCTGTCATTCCTGCATTCCTCCTCACCTCATCTGGGAGACAAATTCAAAATGTTTCTGAGGATGAGAGTACAAACATTATGTAGCAACTGAAGTTCAGATGGCAGCTCAGACTCCATTATTACTCCATTACAGCTCTAAATGATGATGTTACACTGAGTGAAACTGTAAACATGAGCCCAAACATCTCAGTTATGCATTGTTGTCTCCATTATTATCAGGTTATGGCTTTGTTGGTTGCAATACAAACTTAAATATTCAAAATTAAATTCATTGAATGTTGTCTATCTGTCATGCACTGCTGCAGAATCTTTACTATAAACAGCAATTCATCTTGTTTCTTTTTCTGTCTTTTAGATGATACCAGCCATGAACCAGCTGAGCCTTCCCGAAGTGAAACAAATGCTGCATCACATCTGCAGAAAACAAGTCCGCTCCTGGCTTTGTTGCTTGTCTGCCTTGCAGCACTCTCCTCATTATAGCGCCTCCCTCTGTCCTGGAGGGCATTTACACCTAGCGTGGCCTGAATCTGCCCAAGGCTGCAGGGAAGGGGTGGGATTTGGGTGCAGCACCTTCGCTTGATTGGGCATCAGAACAGGCTCTTCAAGGAACCCTCTATTTTTTTGAGAAAATATTTAAGTGGTCTTTCTCCATCTGTGAGTGAAAAAAGTTGATGTTGGAAGTGGGAGAGACCATTCTCTCTCTTAAACCTTCAACTAAGATGCCAAATCTCGTTTTTTGACACTTAGTGATTCTTATTTTCCCTTTACATCACATTTATCTCATTGCAGCACTGTTTATCCACACACACACATACATTGCTTACAGAGTCAGATACAAAAATGCCTCTACACTAACTGTCAACAGCCGTAGGGTTTTTACAAAGTTGTATACAGTAGCAGCATTACACAGTAGAAAAGTGCAGATACTAGGTCTTAGAAATGACTGTACATACCCAAATTAATAGTTGTCCCAAGACCTCTCAAAAAGCCTTTCAGAAAATATTTTGATCATGGGTCATACATACTTGGAAGTGCAGTACAAATCTGAAAGATGAAGATTTAGGAAAATATGAGGTCAGTCTGGAAACTAAAGCAGCGATAAATACATACTGTACATGGCATGCTCGTTAGGTTGCTGATCATCAGACTGTCCTGGGTTAAGATCGTGCTCAATATTCTGTTGAATATTAAGTGTGTATAGGTAAATAAGCTACTTAGGGTTTGAGCAAGTGATTCTAAAACTTAGGGGAAAATGCTCCTTTGTGTAGATCATGGCAGCCTGATCAGCAAAACACCTTTCAAAGCTTTTGATTCACTCAGATTCACAAAACAGCTAAACTGAATTTTTCTCACCAGACACTTTGTCGACTGCTATCAAGATGAAGGATCGATGTCTTTTGAAAGTCGATCTCAAAATTTCACACCTACAGTCACAGTCATTTCATGCAAGTGTTTAGTGAGCTGGGCAGCAATTGTTGTCTCTGATCTATCTGAGTATGTGTCAATATTAAAACATTTGCATTCGTTGTCTTCACTGTTAATTGTTAAAGTGACTGTTTAAAAAAATATTCACAGCTAAACTGGACACTTTATTTTCTCTAAACCTATAAGTTATTTTACTTGGAAGTGATGTCTCCAAACATTGTCTTTCGCATTGCTGACACTGTAAACTTTGTTTTTTGTGCTGCCTGAGATCCACTTAAATAAGAAAAGTTTGAGTTTGTGGGAAAGTGTTTAAAAAGACACTTCATTTCACAGCACCTTAATTTTTTCCACACTTTTTTCCCCCTTAAACATAACTACAGCTTTGACTTCATGTTCATCAAATGATAGTTAGCTGGTTCTCACATTCACTTTACAGCAGCATTTAGAGCAGCATTTAAAGCATTTACTGATGCGCTGCACAAATTAGTTAACACTGTGTGAAAATAGAAACTATCTATCAATTCAAGGCAATGCACAGCTCTGTTTAGTCTAACCAGGTTTATGCTGGCGCTTATATTCATAGGAAGTCACTGTGTTATAATGATATTCTGCTTTCTATAGCTCCCCACAGATGTAAACGGCCAGTTATGTCCTTTTTTTTAAACAGATAGGTTTGTTTCTTTGCTTTCAAAAAATATGGGCATATAGAGAAATTAACTTACTACCTTTCAGAGCCAGGTTTTGCATGAAAAATAGGTCACCAATTGGTTTGTTAAGACAGACAGAGAGATAAAAAATGCAAGAAATGGAGCACATGAGCAATGGCATGCCCACCTTCAGCTCCTAGTGTTACTGGTTTAAGTGACTCTTTAATGAGGTTCAAAATGACAGGCATGTGGACCCCATGTTGTGGCAAGGGAAGTTATTTCTGGTATTAAAAATAGAAGGTAGAAGGCTTGGGGGGTCTCGGGAGGTGGGTTTAGATTTCCACTGTTGGGAGGAGCGCCAGTGACCTTGCAGTTTGAAAGAAGCGAAGGTGGTGGTAAGAATTAAAGGGAGAGACACAGACATAGAAAGGCATGGAGTGACTAGAGTGCCTAAAAAATAATAAAACAAGACAGAACAGCTTAAAATCCCGGCACTACTGGATTACACTACCTGATTCAACTACAAACGTACTCTATTGTTCAGTACCATTCAGTCTCAAAAGGCATGCAATGCTTTGCTTTGTTTTCATTTTTGTGGCTGCATTTTTCAGCTTTTTTTTCCCAAGAAAGACTGCCTTTGCTATTTGTTTTTTGTGCTACAGCAACAATGCTATTACAGCAGAATAGCAGCTCAGCTATGGGGGGTAATAGGAGACAAGGCCATTTAATGAGGTACTAATTTTCAGGCAAACACCACAGGGAATGAGCACTGCATACGATTCAAAATGGACACTTGTCAGCAGATTAACACTAGACCAGAAGATCAGAAACCAGCTTCAATTATACTCTTATAATTAGCAGTGCTACTATTTGTCATTATTGCTATTATTACCATGATTTATTCTATACACACCTTAACCTGGGAAGTGAGGATCAACTTATAAACTGGATACTGTGTATCCTGAGGTAGTCAAACATAAAACATGTAGTGTTAGGTTAGTATCTGTTTTGTACCTTTCTTGAGGACAAAAGAAAAAAATGAGATAAATCATTGTTAAAACTGTATAATTATTATTATTGTTATGATGATAATTATAACTATTATTATTAGGGAAACTTCTTGATGTAAATAGTGTTTGATATTAAAGTATTAATTTGGTTCTTATGTCTTTTCTAAAAAATGAATAGGGTATTATCTCTGGGTTTTGCTGAGTGTGTACTGTCCTCAAACAATGCATTGTGTGCTTTGATCCTCAATGCCTAATGAAACTTTGAGCTAATACGAAGGAGAAACCCCTGTGGGAGCTGTACATGTACTAGTGTACAGAAGGCTGGACATTAGCCAACGAGTGGCTCACCCGTTACACGTTTCAAACCAGTCACCAACTTTCATCACCTCTTCTCATAAGGATCCTGCCCTGGAAAAAAAAACATTTGGGACTTAATAGATGGCTTAATTGTACTTTTTTTGTTTTTAGTGCTTTAAAGCATGTTGATCAGCTCAAAGATCAGCCATGAGATGACTGTTGGCTTTTTAATCGAAGGATCTCGCCAGTTTCTTTATGTGGCATGCGCATGAACTTGGTGATATGTTAAAAAAAGTCTAAAGTTTTAAAAAGGTTTTCTTTTGCTCTTATTTTTTTTCTTTAAGATGTAATAGATTTGCTGATCACTTTCATGTGTGTTTTTGCATCCCCATTTGAGTGATGTCATTAGGCTGTGCAGTGACAAATGTACACAACACAAACCATTGTGAAGTTACAGTGGGGGTAGGTCATTTCGTAATCTAAAGGCAATTTTTAATTTTCATTTCCTAAGAATGACTCTTTCGGTATCCATCTACTGAATTCATCCTATGCAGCTGCAGTCTGTCTCTTCTCATTATTCATCCTCTTTCTGCTCTCCCAAGAGGAGGTGTTTCGAAGTGTATACATCAATCCATGGATGTTCTTGAGTGTGAAAAAATGTGTGAGACCTTTGAGTTTGTGTGTGTCTCATTTGCTGTTGCCGCAGTGAATGGGAAGCGGCAACCCTCTTTGGCAACGAAGAGTGTTTCCCATGCCTTAGCCCTTCAGCCTCTACCCTGGCGGCCCCGTATACAAGACGCTCTCTGCCATTGTGCTTTTACACGGAACGGCTGCTGGCGTCGAAGCGACTACAACAGGGCCCTTCACTTCCTCTCCCTTTTTAACAACCCTGAATCACTTGTCCCTGTGGTAGACATTGGTCTTGGGCACAGTTTAAGGATTATTGCATCACGTCCACCCCTACCAAATCCCAAACTGGATTGTTAGTAGGGTAAAGCCTATCATCAATCCAGGTTCTGTGCTTATGGGCAAAGCCTCTCTTCATCAGCTCCCCACCTGCTGATGAGCCACTTGTTCATTTAGGGCACCTGTCCTGTCCCATTCTTCTTGTGCTTGTACATATAACCTCCACCACACCACCTGCTGTCCTTCCCTTATCTTTGAAACCCACTCCCACGTTGCCATCAGTGGGGAATCTTTCCAACCTGCTCTTTTACAGTATATAAACAAGAACAAAAACTTTGACAAAAATGTTCTGTATTTGTATATACACGTGTCTGAGCAACTATGAGTAATACAATAAAATGGAAAAACATTGCTTTGATGATTGTGCTACTGTTCTCTTTCCTCTTTAACCCATTTACAAAGTTATGAAAATTCAACTGTGATCATGGAGTCAAGAGTCTTGTAATCAAAAGCAGTGTCAAATTTGTCACTGTATTAAGATTGTTAACTGCATTAAGCATCTCTACTGTAACTAATACAGAAAATGAATATACTCCTGTGACACTTGAGCAGAATCATGTTTCATCATGTGCCAAATTGGATGTTATCCCCATGTACACATACACTCTCTACCCACTTTATGTTTTTCCCTATCCGTGCCTCTGCCCAGCTGTCTACACTGTGGAATCACTCCCTCCAAACACAGACTGAGAGAAACACCATCCATCAGGATCAGAATAAGACCTTAAACCTCCTTTCACTTTAGTCGGGCACTAATGAGGACACCTAATAACCTTCTGCTGGACCCCATCAGTACCATTTAGCTTCACCCTCCATTATCTCTGGTAATTAGACTGAGAGCCAGCAAGCCCCGAGGACCAAAGGGGGGCAGGCTTCCCGATAAGCCAAATGAACCCCAGCGATATTATAAAGATTAGTGAAATTTGACTTAACAGAATATAAATACTACTCTTTATATAAGAAATACTTATAAATAGTTAGATATGAAAGAATTTGAAAATGGCTGGGGGTGGCTGTTTCTCCAGTGCATATGTCAAAGTGTCCTTGACCAGAACTGAATCCTTAGTTGCTCCCAGTAATATCACCCGCATGGGAATGGGTGAATTGGAAATAGCATAAAGTGCTTTGAGTGCACTTCAATGTGTGGAAAAGCCCTATAGATATAAGACCATTTACCATAACCAAAATAAAGAAAGCTTGAATTCTTGGAATATAGTTATGCTGCCAGTATGTCTGTATTAAAGGCTTTTTCAGAGCCACTGTGGATTACAGTGACGATTAAGTAAACATCACTCTGTGGGCTGGAATAAAACATATTGAAGCAAAAGACATTTAATCTAAGATGCATTCCTCCTCACTCTCATCCTTTTCCAAAGCTGCTACTTTTTTAAGCATCAGAATTAGAAATGCTATATGCATGAACACACTTGACATGATGAGCCAATTAGTGTCAAGTTGTTCTTCCTAGTGTTACTATCAAAGGAAGGCTCTGGAGATGCAGGTGTGTGCCTATGAAGACCAATAAAGACAAATCACTGTGCCTGATCATTAAATCTGGGGTAATGATTGCTTTATGTGAAGATGTGTCCCAGATGCACTATTAAGCTATGAACATAGTCAAGGTCTGTGACCAGTAGTGAGTGTGAGGAGGGCACTGGGATGAGATGGCATTCAATTGAAATCATGTCACCTCAGAGGTGGCAACAAGAATGCATGAATGTGCACAGACTTACCTGCGCCTGCGATTCTGTTCCCCTTTCTGCTAGTGTGGCTTTCTGATAGAAGAAGAAGTATCTTAACACAATAACAATGTGATTGACAGTCTTGAAGAGGCCACTTTAGTGACAGTCTTTTGAAGGCATCATTCTCAAGTCAGCTGGCTCCCTTTTTGGGTGCACGGTGTTTCGTTTCCATGTGAACGATCGGTTTGACAGACAGCTCTGAAAGATGTGTTCAGTTAATCGCTCCAGTGGTGTGAAAAGGTCATAAATCACCCAATTACGCTGGCTTGCTTTATGAATAGATATTTTTGGGGGGAATATTTAAAATGCCTCTGAGGCATATCAACTTAGTCAATCCCATATTTACTGAGAGGGAATTGAGGGGTGGCTGCTTGTGCCAGAAGTAACTGATAAGCTGAATACATTTTAGAGTCTCAGTCACACTGTGGAATGTCACAGTGTTACTGAGTTAGAAAGTTAGAACAGAATTCATGGTTATTATTATGAATGAAAGCTTTGACATGTTTCAAGAACATGTTCAGAAAGAAGAAGAGAAACAATTACAGAAATGAGAACCAAAAATACAACAGGAAAATGCTGGGTAGAGAAGAAGATATTTGAACTGAGCCATCGGCCCATAATTTTATGACAGATTTATCAGAAAAACACAATAAATTTAATTGAAATGGTTTGTCTCTAAAGCCGGTACAATGCATCTTTCCATTTCATTGTATCCAACATGCGGAGCCAGGTGCTCAGAGCAGAAACTACTCAGTACAGGGTCACAAAAATTTTGAGCTTGTAAAAACCTGTGTAGAAAAGATTTGTATGTAAAAATATTTTTGAAAGTGTGAATAAAATCTGTAAACAAATGTTACACAAAGACAGTGAAAATAATTAAGCGTGTTTGTGAACTTCTGTGTACAGATGGAAAGCAGCAAATCACAGCAAAACTTAAATTAGGATTAGGAATAATGGATAGTATGAATTCTGACCATTCTTCTCTTTCTTCTTCTGCTTCTTAATAGTGGTTGGCAAACAGCTTTAGGTGCATTACCGCCACCTGGACTGGAGTGTGGATCAGAATGGCCCCTACCTACTAAATTCTGACCGTGATTTTACACCTGAATCTTATTGGACAATGACAATCCAATCACAGAACTGTCCAATCAGAGGGCAGCTGGGTTGTTTAAGTTAGTCTGCACTGCAAGTGCTAAAGGTTTGGTTGAATTTCAATATGGCGGGCGGCAAAGGCTCTTTTGCTACTCAGGTGGGTAGTATTAGGAAATTGTAGAAAATTACAGTCTAGTGATGGGCAGATGAAGCTTCATGAAGCAATGAAGCCTTTCATCCAGTTGGTTCACTCCAGCGCAAAGCTTCTTGAAGCTTCATTTGCTCTAGTAGGACATCTACTGGATGCAACAATATCAGTTGGCATGAATTTGAAGTGTGTGGCATTTTGCAGAAAGCCTGTGAATAAAACTGTGAGGGTGGTTGGGGTTGGGGTATGGACAATGATTGTGCTTTTGTAACGTTGAGGTATGGCCAGTGATTATGGTTTAGGGGACACATCATTGGTTTTTATTTAAAAACAACAGTTTCTCCACTGTGGCAGGTCTTAGGCGATTTCTTTTTCTCCATCAAACACCCACATTTTGAATGGAGCCTGAGGGGTTTATATCGCTGTCAAAACTCGCGGCAAAAACCGAACCACTTCCTGAATCAGTCACGTGGTACAGCCGGGTAGCGAGGCTTCGGACGTCATCATTTTCAGCTCCTTACCTAAATGACACAGGCCTCGATACGCGCATCGCAGAAACGCCCCCTCCCCTACTCGGCACACGCTTCGAAGCCTCGATACGGAACGTCACATCACTAATTATAGTTAACATTTAGTGTTTTGTGCTCTGTAGGGTATGCAGCGCATAGGTGCTTCGCCGTTATTCTAGGGTAGCGCGGTTATCCAAATGTGTATTTACTAGTTCTATTAATGTAGCACGTTAGCAAACCTCTGCTAGCAAGAAACATTTCTGGGGTAAGTTAGCCATCCAGTACGCATTTGCTTTGCTTGAGCATGTTCACTATCCGGCTAATCGTTAGACCTGGTTAGTCTAGGAAAAATCGCTCTAACTTTTAACTTGTCCCCTGTTGGATGGGTCTTGTAAATGAAATAGCTCTGGTTTTACCTGCTCCATTAATGTAGGTTGTTAACTAACATTAACTGTTAAGGGAGATGCCTTATGTATGTAATATAAATATACCAAGCTAAATACTTGATGGAATTTGTTAAAAGCTCACTCGTGTGAATAGTGCATTAAAAAGGATAAGGATAATCACCTTTATTGGCCAAGTATGTTGCACACAACAAACCAACATAGGAGGACAGGCTTCGTAACAGTGTTTGATGAATGCAGCAGGCTTGAGGCCTACTTCCTGGTGTTAGCATAAGCAAGCTAACATGAGGGCATAGTAGAAGTTTGACTTGTCTGTTGGAATGAATACTAACACAGGTGATTTCTGATGCAGTATAAAAGGAAGCAGAAGTCTGGGTAGTTATCTGGTGAGCCATTTGAAATTTTGGGTGAGTTGTTCTAAATGTTTGGTGGCTAGAACAGTTGAAATGTTTGCTAGTGCTAGTGACTGGTAACAGTTGGATTGAGTAGATGAATGGTTGTGTTGTTTTGTGGGTGCAGGAACACACAGAGCTTGAACTGTACCCAACTCAACGAAACACCAGTTAGTGAGATGGTGCAAACCAGATGACCCTGTAGATCTGCCTTCACTCCTTCAGCCACACAGAACTTGTGCTGTTATGATGTAGTTTCAGACTCAATGGAATTAAGTCTAATTTTGTTTAGACAATCTTGGTAGAACAGTGTCAGTGGTTGGACAACTGAGCCGGCCCAGCTCTCTGAGGTGACTGCCACTACAAGCCAGCTGGTCCAGCTGCTGCTTAACCTGAGCAAATACAATGCAGATGCTGTGTGTCAAGCTACATATCTGCTCTTGCTTGGGTGAGGATAGGGTTCAGGGATGCTTTGTGTAGGTTAGGTCTGGAAAATGGTGTTGCTTATTGTGGGGCTCTGAAGATTTATGACAGCATGGCCCCCCCTTTTTGGGGCCAAATAATGGGTAAACATCATTTAACTTGTATACTCAGCTTTCATACGATCTCCTATGCATTGGTACATTTGTGTATGACTGACCAAAAGTAAAAAGTAGTCATTATGCAGAAGTATGCATTTCATGTTGGTGTAAATCATATTAGTTTATAATTACTGGTGCATTGTTGTCCAGCTGGTAAAGGTACAGCAAATTTTAACTAACTTTAATTTGAACTTCTGCTGGGTAGCTTGTAAATTTCCCACCAGAGATTAATGCAGTCTTATGATTAGGCTTATAATGTATTTCCTTTGATTCCACTGATTCTGAGAGAGTACTGTTATTCTACCACTGATACGTTCAGGTCAGACTGTAATTTCTCAGATCATTCATTTCAAATGTGTTGAAATGTTTGATCAACTTTGATATAAATTGTAATGAAAATTCTCAAATTTTTTATAACATGCAATTATAATTGCATACAACATTTTATAAATTGTTCCAATCTGACCCTTTTTTGCCACCAACAAATCTCCTAGTTAAATAGTGTTTAAGACAGCAGCTGTAAGGTGTTCATATTATGAACTGGTTTCACTCTGTATTTGTACCCACCACATCCAAACAAGGATAAGAATGAACTGTGGTGTGTATAGCAGTTTCACTTACCCTAGGATAATGGTTTATTGTGCCTTAAACCAAAAGTTTAAAGCCTGTATTGCTTGATTTAAAAGTTTTCAGGGCTGCAATGTTTATGGCTAATCTTCATAAATCCATAATGACTAACCTTCATTGCTCTCATGTGAAACAGAAAGTTAGTCTTTTGATAGTAGCTGGCAAATAGATTACCTTAAATTCACTGTGGATAAACCTATTAGGTAAAGTAAACACAGCTCTGTATGTGTGTAATTGTTATACAGGTGTGGTTATATTTGATGGAATTGACCTTCTATAGAAAAGCTGGTGCACCCCAGAATTCATTGAAATGTCTTGGTTAAAAAAGTAAAGTATGATGAAGATGTTGACTCCTAAATTTCTTGTCACAGATCCTGTTCCTCCAAATGGCCAGTAAGGCATCCACAGCTCTGGAGTTCTTCCTTGAAGCTGCAAAGAAACAACTTTCCATCCAGGTAGAGTCTTGGATATTAAAATTCAAATGTGTAAAAGGTTTTATTGTATTAAGCATCTTTGGTACACTGAAGACTATGCCAGTGTTGAGTCATCTAATTTTCCTACTGTAATTAGGCTTCATGTCAGTTACTCCTGCATTTCAGACTGCCTTTTGTGTTTCCAATCATTTTAAGAGCTATTTATAGTTAACTTTGCTACAGACTTATAGAACTTGCAGTATTTGATACTGAAACACTGCATTTTAACATTGATGTCCATTTTGTTTAAACTTGTCTTTTAATGTATTCAAAAATGTGGATATTTGAGGCTGTGGTAGGGGAAGCGTCATCTCAGGGTCACAGGACCTCAACCAAAGGACATCTTAAAGTGGGCAGTTCTACCTGCATTTATAATTGGTTTGCTTGCTTCAGTGGAATGTCCCCCACTTTTACTGTGTGGTTTTCCTTTAATTTGCACTTCCCAAGTAAAGTGTGATATGGGCCAAAGGCAGAACAGTAGTTTTTGGTATTCTTTTTCAGGATAGAGCCAATGAGCTGCATGTATTCACTGAGGGATGAACAACCCTTCACTCTGAAGAGAACTACACCCCAAACGAGTTGTGGGAAATTGGAAGAGAGTCCTGTCAACACTTCTGAGGACATTAAGGTAAGATAAAAATCATGCAGCTCCAACAGGCTGCTGTTAAGATCTTTAATTTGTGTCGTAGAATACATCTATTTAGGCTTAATCCCAGATTTCAGTTATTCACACCATATATTTCAAAGTGTCCTCTACACTTACTAATGAACATTGCTTCATTTCAGGAGGGACCAGTTTCCTGATGTGGCCATGTACCATTCTGGAGTACAGGTTGAAGAACTGGTCTCACTCCCTAGCTAAAGAACTGAAAGCCCTGATTCAGCCACTTAAATACTCTAATTGCAGAAAAGAACCAGACAGTTTAAGTTGTAATTACTTTATTTACCAGTCTACAAGAGCCAGATGATATTGCTTATCCTCTTAATGGCATTTTAAGTAGTTTAAACAACTGATTGCACTGCCGAAGTCTTGCAACCAAAAGGTAAATAAATAATCACCACTGTTAAAATACTATGCTCTCTTGAAGAATGGAGTGTAAATGGTGTGCCCAGCTGGCTCTAAACAAGAACCCCAGTCAAAGCAGAGTACCTCATCTTCCACATGCTGTTAATACTGCATGTACATGGACCCTTCCACAGTGATGACTTCTCCAGTCATGCAACTTTTAAGTTGCAATGCAATTGCATGACTGGAGAAGTCATCACTGTGGAAGGGTCCAGGCAAATGCAGTGTAACGGCATGTGGAGGGGAGGAGGGAGTGGAGGGTTGACTTTGATCCTGCCAGTAGGGATTTCCTATCTTAAACTTCTGCAGTTGCCTGAGCCAGAGTGGAGTGCCTGGAAAAAGAAAAAGTTAGTGTTTTTGGAAAGGCTTCTTTGACTTCATTAGTAAACAGTCCATTTTAAACCAACTTGCCTGTCTCCATGTATGTCCTCAATCCTGTTGTAGGATTTTTGATGCTGACTGGGGTTCTTATGCCAGGGCTAGATGGTCAGGTTGAGGAGGGAAGCAAAAGCTTGCTTAAATAAATAAAGCATGATACAGGTTGTACAACTTCAATTCATCAGGTTTTGAAATTTGCTTCATTTTTGAACAAAACTGGCTTAGCTTTTCTTTAAGCATCCTTTCATATACTGCTGAGTGGAAACTACAACATATCAAGATTTTATATTAAGATGTCATCTTACCACATGTTTAAGGAATAGCCATCTGAATTACTGGTGGAAAGGCAGATTTCATCCCTTTCTCCTGGTCAGACGGGTTCATCCCCATCAAGCCTAAAAAAACAAAACAGAACATTATTTTTAACAATTCTCATTTACCCTCACTCTGAAAATCTTTAATATTCATTTGTAAAGCACCACTCAAAGGTCCCCAGATTTAAGCAATAAACTGAAGGAATGTTCAATTTCACCTTTTTGCACAACAATTTAAGAATATATTTATCAATGTTGTGAACAATTTAGCATTACTCACCATCTGAATAGTTAGCTGAAGTAGCAGATCCTGACATCCAGACATCTGTAGTGAGCCCATGAGCTTTTGGGTCATCTTCACTGGTGTTGTGTGGCTGCGACTTCTTGATGTTGCCACAAACGGGACATGTACTGTAGGCTGTGGGGAAAATCTATACAAAGCACATTTGGTCCTGCTGCTATGTCACAAAATCTAGATGCAAAAATTAATTTGAAGCAACCGTGGATGAGAAAGCCTGCAATGGTAATTGAAAGCTCTAGAAAAGCTCAATGAATACACCTCTCACCTTGTGTGAGATTAGTGTCACCTACTTTCACTGCACTGCTACTTTTATTTAAAGAGCACAGACTTCATACAAAAAAGCCCCCACTGTATCCTACAAAATGCCTGCACAGAGAATCTCTGAAGATGGGAGTAATTTAACTTTTACAAATTTATGTATGAAATTGTACCATGTTTGTTGTTCTGGTGAACTTGCCTTTCCACAGTTTAATTTACTGTAGGTGTTCCCTATTGTTGGTTATCATCTTCAGCAGCTCAGATGTGTAGTCCAAGCCAGAGGCAGGTTCCTCTGGCCACTGCCACCTTAACGACAAAACAAGAGATATTACAGCAGTAGAACAAGATATTGTAACCAACAATGTCACAAAATATATGAAGGTGCTAAAAACATTAAAATGAAATTGTCATTTGCAGAGAATTAACCTCACATGCAGTGTCTTAAGCTCTCAAAAAAAAAGGACCATTGCCTACAGCTTTATACAAGTCATTCCCCAGTTAGTCTTCATTACTGGACACTAATGAAGAGCTCTAGTAATCTAAATTTGGATATGAAATTCTCTCCATGGTTAAAACTCTTTAACATGCAGTTACTTATAGTGGTTTGACATTAAAAAAGTCCTGACATTGTCAGCAAAACCTGATATTTTGAGTCTAGTTGAATTTAAGGAAAACAGGCTTTTCAAGGTGTTCACTGATGAACTGGCAGCCAATGGTTTGTCTGGACTTAACTAAATGGAGGCCGTCTTACACAGAGGAGGCAGAAATAAAACACTCAAGTGCATGTACTTGCATAGGAAGGCAGTCCCCTACAAGAAAGGTGTGTCAAAGATCCCAGTACTAAACACTACTGAACTTGATGGAAAACAAGAAGGTGCTATAGTAGTAGTTGATCATACATGTGCCAAAGAATGGAAAAGCATTCATATGAAAGCTTGGTATACAAGTCCAATGATGTTTAACCATTACTTGACCTCAAAGAGGAGTATAAGGCCATGCTGTCATGACTCTTCAGGGCCCCAACAGCATTTCCCATCCTAACCTTTCCCTAAAACACAGCATCTCTGAATCCTCTCCTCACCCAAGCAAAGAGCAGATACAGTATGTGGCTTGACACACAGTATCTGCATTATATTTGCTCAGGTTAAACAGTGGCTGGCCCAGCTGGCTTGTAGTGGCAGTCACCTCAGAGCTAGACTGCTCAGTTGTCCATCCACTGACTGTTCTACCAAGACCGTCAAACAAAAGAAAAATACACCAGTAACAACCCTAGTGAGTCAGTAACTGTATTCAGTAGTGAAAAGTAAATTTACTCAAGTACTGTACTTAAGTACAATTTATGTATATGCACTTGAGTATTTCCATTTTATCTCATACTATGACCACTACATTTTAGAGGCAAATATTATTTTTACTCCACTACATATATTTTATAACTTTAGTTTTCAGAACCAGATTAATACATAAGTTACACTACAAGACTACTGATCTCTGGTGGAAATTTTACAAGCTACCCAGCAGTATGTACTGTAAAGTAGTTAAGATTATAATTATATAAGCTCATTAAAACTTACTCCCCATTTATCAGCTGCAACATTAAACACCGTGTACACAATAGCACAGAGGTGGCCAATTCTAGTCCTTGAGGGCCACTGTCCTGCTTGTTTTCCCAACTATCCCTGCCTGACCTGTTGCTGATTACCTGGCTCAGGTGTGTTCAGCCAGTCAGAAGCTGGAAGATACCATCTCAGATGAAAGTGGAGTGAGGAAAGAAAGTGAACTGGTCAGGCAGGGATAGTTGGAAAACAAGCAGGACAGCTGCCCCGGAGGACTGGAATTGGCCACCCCTGCAATAATGAATCAAATAAATAAAAAAAAAGATACTACTTTTACTCAAGGGATGCGAGTACTTCTTCCACCACTGACAGTATTATCAGCAATGCCAATACAAGTTCTGTGTGGATTAAAGAGTTAAAGCAGATCTACAGGGTCACCAGGTGGAGGCCAGTAGCAAATGATGCACACACAAAAAACACGTGCACCACTTTTCCTGTTTACATTTACTTCCGTTCATAAAGTAAAGTTTTAAACCCCGTTTATGTTGGCTCGATTATTTCTTTTGCCTTAATGTCATTTTTCTGTTTTTCTTTTTATGCTTTTTTTGTAAACTACTGATATTAGTCAATTCATTTTCGTTTAGTGACGACTGAGACACCACTAGCCCAACAATAAGCCTTTACAGGTGGTTAAATTACAAAGCTCCTCTTTAGCAGCATGTTAACTTGCGACTATTAGCAGGCCACAAGCCAGCAGCTAGCTTACCAGGGCTAGTAGGCCTGAAGCATACCTCATGGATCAAACATTTACGAACAACCCATCCTCCTATGCCATTTTACTCAGTTTAACATGTCATGTTACACACATACGTTAAAGATTACAGTTCAACCTGCTCTAGTACTTGTACTCTTGCCTACGTTTCCCCCCTGTGACTTGTGTTTCTTCTCCTCCAGAGCCCGCAGCTCGCCTAGATTCTAAATTGGCGTGCTTTAAGCTCCACCTTTTTATAACCTACCTCACCTAGCAGAGAAAAGGTAGACCTGCCAATAAAACCTCTACAGCCACGTTCGCTGGGCGGATCTTACTTTCCAGCCACGTTCGCTGGGCGGATCTTACTTTCCAGCCACGTTCGCTGGGCGGATCTTACTTTCCAGCCACATCCTTCTCGCTCTACAGCCTACCCTCTGATTGGATAGTTTGACTCTGCTCTGTGATTGGATTGTCATTGTCCAATCAGATTCAGATGTTCACAAACATGCTCCATTATTAATTTTTTATGTAACAATTTGTTTACACATTTTATTCACACATTCAAAAGATGCTTTTACAACTAGATATCTTTGCTACACATGCTCAAAAAGCTTTTTACAAATACATTTCTCAAAATATTTGTGACCCTGTATTCAGTCCATAAGAAACACCCAGATTTTTATCTTGCAGAATGAATAAATGAGTAGCAGACTGCAGTCTGAACAAAAGAAAAGTTCTCAGGGTCTTAGTATCAGAAAGCACCTTCACGAAAACAAAGTGAGATGTTTTGTTACAAATATCTGCAATGGGTTATAAATATGCTACCTTTATGTGTGGACTTTAATCAACTGAGCGCCTCAAAAGACTAGAGTTACATTCTTTTACAGTCTTTCTATAGATCCAGGGTATGCTACCCTTAGGTGGTCACTGCAGTGTGTTTAATGCAGGTCATTTTCTTTTACTGATGCCTCTCACATGTTGACCCTCAGGGCTACGCAATGAGAGGTTGCAGCCAAGCCAGAGGAGGATTATGGGAAGATGTGACACCACTACAAAATATCAACTTCAAGGCAGATGAGACAGAGATTAAAAGAAGTGGCAGAGGGTGATGGCTGACTCTGAGGACCACATGTTAATGTATGTTTTATGACGCATACGTTTACATCTGATATTATCGTGTCATTTTTGAATCTTGACATAGTGGAAAAAAGATGATCTCTCTGTGAAATTTGAAAGATTGTTTTCAGTGTGAAAACTGCAGACTTTCACACTGTGTTTCACACCATTCAGATGTGTTACGCTAAGTATTCACGCATTCTGAAATGAAGATTTTCTCATTTCAAGTGACAGATAATTTCACAAGGGAGTGTGAGAAAAATAATGCAGCCAGCAAATTTCACAAATCATTAAAACACTAGTTGAGCTGGGCAAGTTTTAACAGTGGGTGGCTTGTTTCCTTTGAAACAAACCAGTACACAGAACTGGTTACAATAAAACAAATTAGTTTCAAATGGCTGGTAAGTGTCAAATGGTTGTAATAAAAACTTTTTTTCACTGTCAGTAAGTGTTGATTATTCAAGAACATCTATTTCAAAGGTTGATCAGAGAGTCATGTTTCCACTCTTGGAACTAATACCGTTTAAATACTTTGTTAAAAAAATACTGCTCAGTGAATAGTATCCACACTTTTACAGTTGCAGATTTTAATTATAACTGACAATCTTGATATGCACAGATCACATATCAGAGTCAGAATTATATCCTCTGCATCAAGCCTCCGTGCTTCCTCCCTCACAGAAGTGGTATTTATTGTGTGAATTTGAACACGCCATTTCACCAGCTTTGTCAGAGTGCAAAGGGCCTTAGTTATCTTCTGAGCAGCTTGTTCCGCTCAGAATAAGTGTGCCACTGAAATGAGAGTACTTCCTGCCAGTTCCCATTGGATGAATGAGGCAAAAGTGATGACAGAGATATTATACTGACATGCCAACACTAGCTCATTGAACAGTCTTTGGCCCAGGGTCATAAATTAGTTTCTAATGATTTTGTCATTATGGTAAAACAATAACTTTCAAACCCAGTCTCCCTTAATAACCTTTGATTTATGCTTTTAATTTTTTGATGGCAAGAAACAGTCTGACACTTGTGCCATTATGATGTTGATGGAATGAAATATTGTCACAATTCATTTTCCTTTTCTGGTTTAATTAGTTTACTTTAAAATGTCATTCATCATTATTGGCGGGTGTCTGAGAGTACTAAGGACACAGAGACTTGGCGATGGTACCTTGTTTTACAGCTGACTTCCCAGGAAATAAATGTTGGCTGCATTATTTACAAAGCTCACCATCACTTTAATCTGATTCTTAATTCAAGAATTTCTTTCTCTGAAAATATATCACATCATTCTTCCACAGTTTCTTTGAAGCCTCCATCTCTGCAAATGTATCTTCTGCTGGATTATCACTCCTGCTGTCGATAGCATCATATTGTATTTCAAATGAGAATGGAGTATGCCTGACATCAGATAGGCACACAGCACAATTTAGTGTTCAAGCTTTTCATGAATCCATGTGTAAACTGAAGTTTCAGTCTGAAAGAAGACATCAAGACAATAGGAAAAATCTGGCACATCATCATATTTGCCACTATGAACATAAAGATATTTTGGTGGTCTTTATACATTTTATTACATAGAAACATATGCAAACTAGTGAATTTTTAAAAGCTAACCGATGGCCATTCAATAACCCTAGAATTAAGTCCTCTTTATTTAACGGGAGTTTGAACAACTGGTAACAGTTTAGATTAATGAACATTCATAAGTCTTACATAACTAATTTTCTTACAGTTTAATATTTCATGAATGGAGCCTGAACTTGCCATGCTGTCGCCATCTGGCTTTAGTCACCAAAGGACAAAACTATCTGAATATTTTCTGTTCCACTGTAGCATATAAATAATTTTAATGAATATTTTATAAGTTGCACCAGACTGAAAGAGGCAAACATTTTAATGTGTTGTCTGCAATTTATAGATATGGACATAAAGTAAAAATGACAAAGTAGTAGAATTCATGTGAAGTAGTACATTCATCCAACTAATCTAATGAGCAGAAAGTCCATTTTACAGACCTGGCAAGCACAAACTAATAGGTTCCTTTTGCAGGGAGTGAACGTTACAGCCCGTAAAAGAAATTCACAAGCTGCATACTGTACAAGCAAACTGGCAAAAGCATAAATGAAATTTTCACCGCTCCCTGTATCTGTTGACAAGATTGTTGACTTATGCCTGGTTCAGACTACACTGTTTGTTTGTCTGATATGATGGTCACTATGTCAGATTACACGATTATAGAGGCATACATTCTTGGACGAGGGACATGACAGACTACACGTTGGTACCTGACAGATCACAGCCTGCTGTCGTTCACATGGAGGTGCCAGGGACCGGGAGAAGAGTATGTGCGATGCTGGCTGCTTGTTAACGTAAAAATGTAAAAAAAGGTATATGTGAGTGTGTGTGGGGGGGGAATTTGTTTCCAGTACTGAACTGAGGTAGCCATCTGTGGCGCAAACTCAACCGATGGCTCTAACCATCAGGGGCAACTTGGGGGTTCAGTGCCTTGCCCAGGGCTGCTCTACCCACTGAACCACAGTCGCCCCCCAAAGCTACGTTCCCATACCGGGAGTCGAACCCGGGTCACGAACCTAACCATTAGACCATATGGGACCATATGTCATGAATAAAATCTGTGTTGCTGTTAGTTAGCATCAGCCCACCATGTCGTAAACGATGACAAGGACTCGGACATGCTAGACTCTGTGTCAGGAAGTCGTGAGGCGATGCAGACACAGCATTCGCATGGTAGATTTGGCAAGTATACACACCAGATGCCCTTCCTGACGCAACCCTCTCTATTTATCTGGGCTAGAAGTGCCCCGACCGAACCCGGGCGGCAAGAGGGCTGAATCCTAGCTACCGGGCCATTATGACACACTATACAAGATAAAACCAGTGTTGGGCTCCTTACCCAATATATTACTCATTACTCTTCTCAAAAATTGATATTATTTATTTACTTATTGCTCCCTGTCAAAAGTAACTTGTTACTTAACCCCACAGCCTGGTAATAGTTTGCAAATTTTTATTATTATTTTTTTTTTGTACCTGTGGGCCTGCTAGTATTTTCCCAAGGATCAGTTGGAAAGACAGAGAGTCAGTAGATAAAATGGACAGCATTTCATCCATCACATATCCAGCCACAAGCTTTATTTGTTCTTTGTTACTTGTTGTAGCCTGCTGTCAGCTATTAAAATCCAGTTTTGGTTGCTTAGCCACTGAGGCGCTACAGTCATCTTCCACAGATGCAGAGGGCTCAACTTTGTTGAGGTGTATCTCCATGAGCTTCATGTTGTTGCGCTGTGTTAATAAGTGTTTCAAGATGTTTAAGGTCATATTTTTGGCATGAAAAGAGCCTTACTGCTACTTGTGCAGAATTTACATTTTACAATAATGTTCTTATCACCTTTCGTTCCAATAAAGTCTAAATATTTCCAGCCACTGAAGCTAGGCACTTCCATCTTCCAAGCTAGCTTACTGCTCATGCTGCTGCTAAATGACATGCAGTGATGTGTGCATATGCTGGATTTCAAATCAATCTTTGCTATGGTGACAACAAAAGTAATGAGTTGTTTTTGGAGGGAGTAACTGTAATATAACTGAAATTTTATTTGTAACTTTTTACACTACTCATTACTGGGGAAAGTAATATTATTACAGTAACATGTTATGGCCTACCACAGGATAAAACAATCAATTGTTATGTCTAATGCCGTTTGTCAGTTCTGATGCCCAACAGGTGATGTTATCAGGCTTAAATCGTGTCAAATGAACTGGGCATAATGAAAATATTTTAACTGTAAACTTTTACACTTCATAGACAGGAATCATATTCTTCACTGCTGGATCTTACAGTCAATATTCCAAAGTGTTACTGAATAACATAAAGGGAAATAACTGTGAGAGTACCACTTGTTTTAATGCACCATGGAAATGCATTATCTCAAACTAGCAGAGTGAGCACACAGTATGGGAAATAGCTCAGTTTATTCAGTATTCTTAGCAAACACCTAAGGCTATAGCATTTCCAAAGATCATGCAAATGACCTTCTGACTTCCGCCTCTCTGTATTCTTCCCTGCTGTCCTTTCTCACTGATTTTCACCTACACACACAGAAATACACATTTTTGTTTTTG